CCAACAGGGGCTCAGGAGGAGGCAGCGCCACACTCCAGCTGACCGGGAGGCTCCTCAGACTGTGGCAGGGCGCAGGGGCAGGGCGCAGGGGCAGGGCGCAGGGGCAGGGCGCAGGGGCAGGGCGCAGGGGCAGGGCGCAGGGGCAGGGCCCACGCCCAGGGGAAGCGCGTAACCAGGGACTGGAGGAGAGGTCATCTCTGTCTGGGAGGAGGGGAACGAGGAATTCAGGACGGGCCGTGGAGCTCGGACAGGGACGGGGGTCTCTCCCTGTGCCACCGAGGCCAGAGCCCCACCAGAAGCGCCTGGCCCCTTCTTTCTCCCGACCCTGTGAGCTGTTCAGTCTGCTTCCCAGCCCCGTTGCTGATGGGGAGAGACCGTCCCCCAGCTGACCCAGGAACTGACTGGCCACCCCCCCCCAGTTTCGAGCCTCTCGCGTATGCGTAAACAGCTAGACGAGAGAGGGGAGAAACGAGGGAGGAGAGGAAGTACAGAGAAAGGAAAGAGGAGCTTCCCAGCATCCTGGCACAAAACCGCCGGTGCCATTCTCCCGGCCTCTGCGTCCGCCGTGGGAGGCAGGTCACCTGCCACGGTGCTGGGACACACCCTCCGTTATCTGTGTGTGAGCGCAGAGGGCCTGGCAATCCACGGACCTCAGAACCTTCTAGACGGTGGCAGGTCCCTTGATGTCTTGTAGCTCCTCTTCCACCCACCAGGCGCCCAGCAGTCTCCTCCCCGTGTGAGAACCCAGGAAGCGCTGGCTCGGACCAGGCGCTGGGAAAGGCTGGCTCCCATCCTCTTACTTCCCTCCCTGTGGCTGGCTTCTCTCCACGGTCTACACGCACAAACTGTGCACTCAGATGCGGATAGCACCCAGGCCCGTGCCCTCACCGGGCCTTCATTTTCACATCTACAAAAAGGAAATAATCAAGAGCACAGGGCTGTCCGGAGGACCAAATGCAGTAGAGAGTGGGACAGTATCTATAATGGGTAATCCACCCAAGCTACCTCCTCCTCCAGGCAGGCTTCCTAGATCCTCCCCAGCTGAACCCTCATTCTGGGCCCTCTACCCAGCCCTGAGGACGACCACCTGGCTTGTGAGTTAACTTTCAGCACTAGATCCCGGCTTCCCCCACGCTGCAAGCTCCTCGGGGACAATGCAGCCTCACTGACACCCACCCAAAGGCGCCTCTCCCTGGGCAGAGTGGCACGCACACCAAGAAAACCAGGCCATCGTCCTGCCTGCCTGCACGCTGGGACTCCCCCCGCCGCTTCACCCCCAAGTTGTCTGGAAAGTTAAGGCTGAAACGAGCCAATCGGGTCCAATCCCCTCATTTTTCACCAGCAAACTGAGGTTCAGAGAGATCGGGTGGCTCGGCTAGGGGTTCCCTCCCGCCATTCTGCTCATCCTGACTATCACACATCAGGGGGGTCTTTCTTCCTTCCACCAAAACCACATCTCAAAGAGGGTCATTTGCCCAGGGTCACCAGCTAGTAAGCAGCAAAGCGGCATTCAAACCCAGGACTTCCAACCCCAAAGCCAGGTTCTTTTTTTTTTTTTTTTTTTAGTCAGAGCCTCACTCTGTTGCCCAGGCTAGAGTGCCGTGGCGTTAGCCTAGCTCACAGCAACCTCAGACTCCTGGGCTCAAGTGATCCTCCTGCCTCAGCCTCTCAAGTAGCTGGGACTACAAGCATGCGCCACCATGCCCGGCTAATTTTTTCCATATATTTTTAGTTGGCCAATTAATTTCTTTCTAGTTTTAGTAGAGACGGGATCTCACTCTTCCTCAGGCTGGTTTCAAACTCCTGACCTTGAGCGATCCTCCTGCCTCGGCCTCCCAGAGTGCTAGGATTACAGGCGTGAGCCACCACGCCCGGCCCAGGTTCTTAATCTCTAAACACTGGTGCCTCCTACAGATCCCCCTGGTGGGGGAGAGAAGAAAAGAGAAAGGACATGTGAACCCGGCTACCTGAATCACACCTGGAGAGGACTCAGAGCAGTGACAGAACCTCAAAATCCCTAAGCGGCCTGAGACGTCCAGTGTTATAAAGCTTACTCAAAAGAAGGCTGGGTCCTCCCTCCTCCCTGGGGCCAGCGTCCAGTAGCCTCTGGACTGGTGGGCATTCCAAAGGCAACAGGGCCCCTGCAAGGCAGGGGAGACGCTAGCTGTGGACCAGGAGACCTCACCAGACCTGGCCCCTGCCCCTCCGTGACTCTGAGCAAGTTCCTGCCTTCTTTGAGCCTCTGGAAAAAAAGGTACAGGAGTCCCTCACAGGTTACAGTGGCACAGCACCTGGCACTCTGGACTGGGGAAGTGGCCGCAGAAGCCAGGGACGTGCTCAGCCGTGCCTAAAGCATTCTAGGTCCCACCGCGCACGTGGCCTGGGCTTGAGACGGCAGCCCCTCCAAGGGCCCGAGGGCAGGGTGCAGTCTCGGCCACTGCGCAGCTGAAGCTCGGATGTCAAGCGGAAGAAACCGAGGCACCAACCCGCCCTGGCCATGGCCCCTCGGCCTCTCCTTCTGCACCAGCTGCCACCGGAGGTGACTTCAGGGTCTGTCTTGTCTAGCTGAGAGAACTCTTTAGGGCAGAATTTTCGGACTAATTCTTCACCCCCCTGGATCATGTCACGTAAGGAACTTTACAAACAGTGGGAGGTGGAGGATCCTACAAGCTCAGCCTCCAAGCGAGAGCAGGCGTCTCTCCTGAGAAAACGCACCCGCCGCCCCGCCCACGGGAAGGATGACAAAGGTCGCAGAGCTGGCCTGAGCGTGGGACGCTGGCGGAGAAGGAACCGGGAACACCGGCCGCACCACACCCTGCGCTCTGCTTCTCCTGAACCCCAGGAGCACCCGAGGCCCTGGGTCAGCTCCAGTCAGCCTCGCGCCAGCCACATGAGCTCGGGCAAGGAAGGCACTTACCCCCTAGAGCCTCCACTTCCCTACCTGTGAAATGGGAGGCCAGCCCTGTCCTACCTCACAGCGCTCCGGGCGTGACGACCCACGCAAAGAGCTTTGCAAGCGGCAAAGCACAGGCCACGTGGGCAGTCAGCAGACCAGTTGTCAGTGTCACCTGCTCCTGCTCCCACACATGCCAGCAGGGCCGTCCCCTGCCCGGCCCTCGCAGTGGGCGGCAGACCGAGAGGAAGTACGGAAGTACGGAGAGGCCACGAGGGCTGTCGAAAACATTTTTTTCTTTCTTAAGTTTTACAAAGGTGGCTTTCTAGGGCTTTGTGTGAAGGGACCTCACTAAGGGTCTCGAGGCCGTTGCTGGGTTTTCTGTCACCAAGGGAAAGAGCCATTGTGTGCACTCTCCTTGTTGAAAAGTCTCGGTCAGATGTGTTTTTCTTGGTCTTTGGAAGATGTAAGTTACATGACATGATCCTTGGTCATCTAGAAAACTTCCCTAAAACTAACATAACCAGTCCCCACCAAGGTGACCAGAAAGGTCCCAGCAGAACCCCACCAAGCCCCAGTGCGGGGTCCCGACAGAGCCCCCACCACCTCCAGGAACAAAGCTTTCAGGCAAGCGTCCTCTGCAGGCCCCCTCGGTGGAGCACGAACACCAAGTGACAGACCCGACGGGCCTCCCCCCAACGCCCTTCTTCCAGGGACTTAACTTCTCAACCTCCATCGCCTCAGCCCAAAACCAGGAGGAGCAACACAGGACCTCAGGCCTCATCTGCAATTACAAAATCCCACAGAGCTCTGAACACCAAGTTTTCCACAACTCATTTGAAGGCAAATCCTGTCCTAACCGGATATAAGACTATTTTTAATCTTTATTTATCCTACCTAATGGGGATATTCACACATTTTTATAGCAAAAAAATATCATAAATGTGTGTCATTCCAGAGGATAGCCCCAAACCCAGCTGGGGGGTCTCACGGCATGGACGTTCTGCACACAACAATTTCTCTAAAACCTGAGAACTTCCGAGAGTCCACACGCGTGGGGCGCCGCAGTGCGGGTGAGGGGCTGGGGGACTGCTGTGAGGGAAGGTCCCTGGCCACAGCAAGTCCTGTGCGGTCTCCTTCCACTCCCTCTTCCCAAGGAGCCCAGCAGGACTCTAGACTACAGCCAGCCCACCTCCAGGCCCAGCACCCGCACTGATGCCCCTAACCCCAGCCTTTCTCAGAGGGGTGTCTGGGACTCCACGTGGCTAAGACAGCTCTTCCTGCAACTGGTCCCCCGCTGCTGGCCCCCATGACCTCAGGGCCAGACTCCTTCTCAATCAATGTACAGTCTGCCTCGGAACAGAGGCAACAAGGGAAACCCCAAGGGCAGGTTCGGAGAACAGGAAAGCTACCTCCTCCCCTACAAACCTCCGACGCGCACCACACCACCACCTCTGCTGTCGGGTCTGGACACGGACTGGCCTGGCTTTAGCCGCCAGGTCTGCCGCTCACCAGCTGCGTGACCTTGGACAAGCCTCCGCGCCTCTCCGAGCCTCCGCGCCCAGCCTGTAAACTGGGAATGGCCATCTCTGGCTGAAACGGTGGTTGCCAACGCGCCGCCAGTGAGCGCGGGGGAGACCCAAACGCCCGGGCGCTGCCCGGGTGACGGAGGCAGCCCTGGAACCAGAGAACGCACCAGGCAAAGCGCCCGGCTCCCCGGCAGGGCCGGTCCCATCCCCCATCCGGAGCCCACGCTGCAAAGGAGGGACGTACACAGACAGCCCTGACACCCGTGCTGTCCGCCTTTCCACGTGATCGCCAGGACTGTGCACTCATCAAAGGCGGGACGGGACTCAGGAACAGAGAGGTTGAGTGACCTGTCCAAGGTCACACAGCCGGCGGATAAGCGGAGGAATAGCGGGGCTGGGTGGCGGCCCCGCGCCGGGCCCCCTGGCAGCGCCGGCCACACGGGCCCCATCTCCTCGGAACGCTGCCCAGCCGCGCGCCCGGGCCGCCCCAAGGACGCGGGCCTCGGTTTCCCCGGGGCGAGCGGGCCCTCCCCGCGCCCGGGGTTGGCCGCGGGCGCCGCAGGGCAGGGGCGGCTCACCGGACTTGGGGTAGGTGACGATCCACACGTCGCTGGGCCGCACCGGGAAGTTGGCGATCTCCTCCATCTTCCCGCGGCAGAAGGGCGGCAGCCGCACGCCGTGGAACTCGAAGTACTTGCTCTCGAACTCCCCCGGGGTGCTGGGGGTCTCGGCCTCGCTCTCCGCCATGCCGCCGCCGCGCCCCGCCGCCGCGCCCCGCCCCGCACGCGCCCGCGCCGCGCCCGCCGCGCGCCCGCCTCCGCAGGCGTGACGTCTCGGCGCTGCCGGGCGGGAGCTCCGCCGCGGGTATGACGTCATGGCGCGCCGCGGGGCGCCTCCGGCGGGCATGACGTCACGGCGCCCGGGCACGCCCCGCCCCACGCGGACCCAGCCCGCGCGCCCCGCCCACGCGGACCCACCCCGCGCGCCCCGCCCCCGCCCCCACGCGGACCCCAGCCCGCGCGCCCCGCCCCCGCCTGACTCGGGTCCGCGGTTCTGGCACCTGGGAGCGCCCAGCGCAGGCTCAGGAGCTGTTCCGGCCAGTGGTGACCTGAAATGCGTTGTCCGCCCAGCCGGTGCTCAGGGAGCGCCCGACCCGCGCCACCCGGGTGCGAGACAGGCAGAAGCCTGGCCCCCTGCAGCCTGCGTGAGTAAACAGCCAAGGATTTCAGGTCACCCACGACAGGTGCTGGAACAGACAGGCTCCGTGCGGTCCCGGGGGCAGAAGGGGCGGGGTCTGGAGGAGCGCTGAATTGCAGACCCCAGGGCCAGCGCCAGACCTAACGCGAAAGGCTTTCCCGGGCAGGTCCTAGAACTGTGCATTGAATAAGGCACTTCTTGTGCAACTGCGGTTTGAGAACAGCCTAGTTCTAGAAGGGTTTCAGTGCAGCCCCTTGTCCAAGCATTCACTCAACAGACCTGCGTTGAGCGCCCACAGACACGGCTTGGGACCCAGGGCACACGGCTTGGGCCCCGGGGCACACGGATGGCAAGGCTACCGCCCTGGTGCGGTGCTGCAGCTCGGCATCGACAGCTGGGAAAGGGGAAGAATAATGCACGCCCCTAAGTGCTATAGCCAGGAGGACGGGAGGTGTCTACGCCAGCAAGAATCTGCAGCAGAGCAGATGGGCAGGACCTATTCCTGCCCTCTTCCTCTAGCGACACCCTTGCAGCCTGGCACGGGAGACTCACACATGGGCTGAGAGGCAGAGGCCATGTGTGCACCGGGGACGGAGAGCCGCAAGGGAGCAACAAACCCTGACTCAGGAGGCTTGTGGATGTCTTTCCAAAACAGAAAGAGGACAGTCCAAGCACCCAGATGATTAACAACAATTCAGGTGCAGATTCTCACTGTGGGAGTAGGGGGATATAAGTGGGCAATGGGAGGAGGCAACCCTGTGGGATTGGGTTGGAACTGGAGGTATTGACATGAATTTACAATTTTTAGAAATACCCATTTCTGGGGCTGGGAGTGGTGGCTCACACCTATAACCCCAGCACTGTGGAGGCCAAGGCAGGAGGATTGCTTGAGCTCAGGAGTTTGAGACCAGCCTAAGCAAGAGCAAGACACCATCTCTACTAAAAATAGAAAAATTAATCAGGCATAGTGGCATGCACTTGTAGTCCCAGCTACTCAGGAGGCTGAGGCAGGAGGATCGCTCGAGCCCAGGAGTCTGAGGCTGCAGTGGGTTATGATGATGCCACTGCACTCTACCCAGGGCAACAGAGCAAGACTCTGTCTAAAAAAAGAAAAAGAAAAAAAATACATATTTCTGATCTTTGCTGAAAAGGTCTTTAGGCAATGATATCTCAATGATACTAGGCATACCCACTGCCCAGATGTTCATTTCTAAATAGTCCTCCACCAAAAGGAACTAGAGTTTCTTGAAGACTAGGCCAGTTCCAGGGCAAGGAAAGAAAAGATGAGCCTAAAACATCTTGTTGAGCCAAAAAAAAAATAAGGAAGTGTTTAAAAACGATGGGAATAGGTCAAAAGGACACAGGACCCAGTGTGAAAAGGTTGCCACAGGCCAAATCAGAAACAATTTGAGCACAGTAGACAAAAATTGGAAACAACTCAAACACCCATGAACAGGAAAATAGATAAATTGTGATATACTCATGCTAGAGAAACCACACAGCAATAAAAAAGAATTCCTGTTATGTGCGACAAGATGGAATCTCACAGTCAAAATGAAGAACAGAAAAAGCCAAACACTAAAGAGGCTATGTTGTGTGATTCCACTTATGTACAGTTCAAAGACATGCAAAACTCGTCTATCGCGACAGAGGTTGGAATAGTCTTAACTTGGGCATGGCATGGGGCGCTGACTGGGCGTAGACACAGGTGCCTCCCCTCCAGAGTGAGTGCATGTACACACAGAATGCTTATCAATTACAAAGGAAAAAGGATAACTTTGCAGTAGAGAAATCTAGCAGGCAGCATCTGCGATGGTTGGTTTTATGTGTCAGCTGGGCCATGAGGTGGTGCCCGGATCGCTGGTTAAACACTGTGTCTGAATATGAGGGGGTTTCTGGGGGAGATTGGCGTTTGTATTGGTGAGCTCAGAGAAGCAGATGGCCTCCCCCACGTGAGTGGGCAGCGTTCAGTCCATTGTGGGCCTGAGTAGAACAAAAGGCAGAGAAAGGTTGGATTTGCTCTCGCCTGACTGCTTCAGCTGGGGCATCCGTCTTCTCCCGCCCTCCGTGCACCTGGTTCTCAGGCGCTGAGACCCAGGTGGGCGCTATGTCATCAGCTCTCCGGCTCTCGGGCCTTCACACTGCGCCACTGGCTGCCCCGGGTCTCCAGCTTGCACGTGGCAGATCATTCCCAGCCTCCGTACCCATGTGAGCCAATACCTTACAATGAACGTCTTTCTAGCATAGCTCCTGTCCGTCTGTTTCTCTGGAGAACCCTGCCTTGCACACCACCTTAGCCAGGTGACGAAATAAACGTCACCAATGACATGGCAAACTGGTAGCATGTGATGCCCTGAAAAGGACACTAAACCATTTATGTGGCATTCCTAACAAAAATGCATATCCTCAGTCTAATAATGAGGAATGAATGCCAAACCCAAGTTAAGGAACAGTTTATAAAACAACTGACCTATACTCTCCAAAAATGTCAATGTCATGAAAGACAAAAAAAGCTGCAAGAACTGTTCCCAATAAAGGAGGCCAAAGAGATTTGACAATAAATACGATGTGTGATTCTGGATCTTTTTTTTTTTAAGCCATAAAGGACTTTACAGGGACAATTTGCAACATTTCAATATTGACTCTATATTAGATAATAATATTGTATTAATTTTAAATTTTCTAAATTTGAAAACTGTCCTGTGGTTGTGTAAAAGAATGGTCATTTGCCCGGGAGCACCTGCTGAAGTGTTTAGGGTGGGGAGTGAAGAATCATGATGTCTCCAAGTTACTTTCAAATGGTTTTACAAAAACCCCAAAATTATGACACCAATACCAGCTCATGTGTATATATACATTGAGAGAAAGAAAGAAAATGTGGCAAAATCCATGCAGGGCTGGGAACCTGCAGCCTAAAGGCCACGTGTGGCCCCCAGATCCCCAAGTGCAGCCCCTGGACAGAATCCAAACTTCACAGAACAAATCTGTTTACTTTGTTCTGTAAAATTTGGATTCATTCCAAAGCCCACACTCAAGGATCCAGAAATCCATATCTGGTCCCAAGGCCACAGGTGCTACAACAAATGACCACAAACTCAGTTCTGTAGGTCATAAGACAGATGCAGGTACCACTAGACTGAAATGAAGGGATCAGCAGGGCTGAATTCCTTCCTGGAGGCTGCAGGGGAGAATCTATTTCCTTTCCCTTTCTAGCTCCTAGAGCTACCTCCACTCCTTGGCTCTTGGCCTCTTTCCAGCTTCAAAGCCAACAATGGCCAGTCTCGTCTTTCTCACATCGTATCACTCTGACATTGACTCTTCTTCTGTCTCCCTCTGCCACTTGTAAGGATGCTTGTGATTGCATTGGACCCACCCAATAAGCCAAGATAATCTCCCTATTTTGAGGTCAGTTAATCAGCAACCTTAATTCCATCTTCAGCCTTGATTTCCTTTTAACATATATCAATAATAGAACATACTCACAGGTTCTGGGGATTGGGATATGGACATCTTTGGAGGACCATTATTCTGCCTTAAAGAAAAACCCTCATTAACATAGAAAATCCCTAGAAATGTGGGGAAAAAAGCTACTAGAACAAATAAGTAAGTTTAGCAAGATCATAAGATACAAGGCCAACAAACAAAACCCAGTTCTATTTATACATACTAGCAATGAACAATCAGAAATTAAAATTTGTAAAATACCATTTGCAATGGTATCAAAAAATATATAAATGCTTCGAACAGATCTAAGAAAATATATGCAAGATTTGTATACCAAAATCTACAAAACATTGATGAGAGAAATTAAAGAAAACATAAAGAAATGAAGAGATACACTCTGTCCGTGGATTGAAAGACTCAACGTTGTTAATGTGCCCATTCTCCTCAGATTCATCCATAGAGTCACTGCAATCCCAAGCAAGAGTTCCACTGGACTCTGGTAGAAATTAGCAATCTGGTTCTAAAACTTATATAGAAAAGCAAAGAACTTAGAATAGCCCAAACAATTTTGAAAAAGAATAGCAAAGTTGGAGGGCTCACACTACCTGATTTCAAGACTTACTGTAAAGCTACTTACCTTAAAGCTATAAAGCAAAACAGGGTGTGATCGGCATGTGCATACACATATAAATAAATAGAGCAGGATAGAAAGCCCAAAAACAGACACAAACATACGTGGTCAATTGGTTTTGGACAAAGGTATCCTTAAAAAGGAAAGAACAGTAGTTTCTCACGAACCAGAAATGTCCATCAAAACCTGCCTTGCCCTTTGAGTGGAGAACACCTGAGCCCTGGAGATGTGTCAGAGAGGCTAGATAGCCCTTTGTCCTGAAGAGACTCTCCTTAAATAGAGTGGGTCTAGACCTCCAAATTCTCAGCCTTCGGTGACCTCTTCCCAAGCTTCCAAGGCTGCAGGGGACCTGGGTCGCTGTCCGTGGTGCTGAACACGCACAGCTCACCCTCATCCCCCTGCCCTCCTAGCCCAGCACTCTGGGTAATCACGACTTCTGGGGCCCCCGTTTTGCCTTGTTATGTCCTATCTTGAGGCATTTTTCCTACCTGTGTATACTATCAAATTTTTAGTGTTAAGTATTTGTTGAATAAAAATGTCAAACGTATAT